AACCCGGTTGATTCTATGATTCCATGACATCTTACAACTAGAGAAGCATAAGAGAGGGACAGGTAAATCAGGCAGAGCCTCTTTTTACAGCTGCTGCTCTAACAAAGAGCATCTATTGCCAGGGCTGTCAATCTGCAGCAGAAGCCAAAGCTTTTTGGGAGACAGAAGGAAAAACTTGTACAGCAGTAACATAAGAAGAAAAAATGCTCATGTCTCCATGAGCTCTGACTCATATTTTTCACAGGTGGAAAACCTGTCAACTAACTAAAAAAAAGAAAGGAAATCAAAAATCCTTCTTTTGCTATGAACATTAGAAAGCTCCTTCAGAAAAATATGGCTTTTTTCTTTGTCATGGATTTGGACTTCTTGTTTTACTGGGAAAAAATATGATTATTAGTGGGAGAAGTGAAATTCCTCCCCATTTTAGACTGTCAAATATGAAAATAATACTGTCCTGTCCTAGCTGTGACAGAAGAAGACTGGTTATCTCCTGTGACTACTTAACACAAGAGTAAGAAGTGTAAAGATATAAGAAACAATTACAACAATGGCAACTTCAGATGAAAATGACGTTTTTCATCTGAACCAGTTTGCATACTCTAGCTGTGTCAACCATTATACAGCCAGTTACAGATCAAAGCACAGCACTCATGCAAAAGCATGAGGCAACTTTTGCAGCTCTCTGTGACTGAAAGGGAAGAAGTCTGTGTGTATTAAGCTGCTGGCAGGAAGGGTATGGAAGTGCAGCCAGAATATAATCACCCAGTCTGAAATGTGGCTATTGCCCTGGGAACAAAGACATTGAGGTTTATAGCTTTTCTGGAATTTCATGTACCCCAGGGCATGTGCTCTTGACAATAGGTATGACCACAGTGACGTAGAACAGTGCCACATCCTGATCTACACATTCCTTAGTGCCATAGTCTGCCAACCACCTCTTATGCTGGAACAAACCTGCTTGGCTAATGAGGTCTGACAGGACCAGGGTCGGGGTAAAACTGTTGTTCTGGAAAACAAAGCAGAACAAAACCATCAAGGCAATTATTCTGAGCAGTAATTTGGTGTTACAGTAGACTGGTCTGAACAGCTTCTGCTTAAAATAAATCCTTAAAATGTATTTTCCTAAAAAGTGGCAGATTTGTTATTCGTACTTAACTGAACCCAGTGTTAAAAATCTGTGGAAGTCACACTAGGAGAGCCTAACTTTGTCCTGTAGGTAAGGGGCAGTGAAGAATGGGTTGTTGAGAAATTGTTTTGGCTTGGCCTGTCTGCTTCCAAAAATGGGAATCTTTAACATTGTTGCTGACATAATTCCACCTAGAAGAGACTGTTGTCACCAGAAAGTCAATATATTCATTATTCTGTATTTAGTTTTGCAACATTTTTTTTGGTCAATAGCATTTACAGTGACTTTTCAGAATTTTCAGCTTCTGGTTAAAAGAAATCAATTTAACATGGTGAGAGGTCTAGATTTGTTGAGAAGCTACAAGCTTTCTTCTAAGTATGCAGGACTGAGTGGAGAATAGATGAGAAAAGTCTTTAGCTATTCACTGTTTTTCTGTAACCCATGCAACAAAAAGTCAAAATCTTTAATAAAAAACCTGAACTACAATTTAGATGGACAAACCAGACGGTTTTATATTAAAAAATTTTAAATGTTTGCTTTAGTTACGGCCCACCATTTTTGCAGTTGTCAAGAGTTCAGGGCTGATGAAAAAGCTGTGGAGGCTTCAGTAAGGTTAGAGTCCAGACTAATCATTCACACAGCACTGCCCAATGGCATTGCCAAGTGTTTAATTGTAATCACTGTGGAGATGGGGGGGGGGGGGGTTTTTCCTTTAACAAACAGGCTCCAAGGAAGCTTGCAGCTTTGCTCTCTGAATGAATGACCTGACACATGCTTTCTCTCTGTTCTGTGTACTTGTTTTCCTTTCTGCTTCTCTTAGGATCAGCCAGCTTTACTGGCCAAGTGGTCAGCTATGCTTCGGAGGAAGCGCCCATTCCACCCCTCCATCCAGGTACAAAGCCTTCCTGCCACCTGATAAACAGGCTCCAAGGAAGCTTGCAGCTTTGCTCTCTGAATGAATGACCTGACACATGCTTTCTCTCTGTTCTGTGTACTTGTTTTCCTTTCTGCTTCTCTTAGGATCAGCCAGCTTTACTGGCCAAGTGGTCAGCTATGCTTCGGAGGAAGCGCCCATTCCACCCCTCCATCCAGGTACAAAGCCTTCCTGCCACCTGATGCCTGACAGCCCATGTGCCTGGTTCCTCCTCACTCACCCTCTTCTCCAGACAACTTCACCCACCTAATTGATCCTCCCATGACTATTTCATCCTCTCCATAAGAGACTTGTTTGGGTTTTTTTTTTTCTCAAAGCATAAATATGTTTTTTCTAACCTAATCCTTCAGCCTCCCTGGGCTATCCCAGTCAGGATCACATGAATGAGGTTGTATTTAATTTGCCCACCATACTTCAGACAGGTTTATACACATCCCAGAATTTGGGGCTCTTGATCAAGCATATGACTTGCTGGGCCCTATGGTCTGCATATAGTGCATAAGACCATCATACCACAGAACATAGGTTTGTGACTCCAATTTGTTTAGGCCAAGAGGACACCAGCTGCACAGCTTTACAGTGCATTCCCCAGCCTTGTGTCTTCTGGTGTTTCCTGGTAAGCCCCAGGTGGAGGACCCTTGTGACTTGCATTTGTAGGTACTCACATAACACCTGCAGCTCTTCCCTTTACAATCAGTTGGGTGCCAGTGCATATAAGACAGTGTCTTAGTACGGGGGTGAACAGTTGTTTATCTGCAAATGTGGTTGAAGCAGTGAGATGAGCAGTAACTGCATGACTATTACATTTTTATCTTATGAAGCCCAGTACTCTGTTTCTGAGCTGCTCACAGGATTTCTCAGCCCAACCAAACCTGACGTGCAGGTCAGCTTGGTCTGCAATGTCATCCTTCCACTATCCTCCTGCCTTTATGGTTTATATTTGACAAAAGAGAAGCTTTCTGGTGTTTCCTTTGCCATTTCTGTGCTTCTTGATGGCCATCTTTTGATCTTGCCAGGGACCAGAGAAGACTGGCTGCTCCCTGTAGGAGAGGGAGATGGGATATGGACATAACAAAGCAGTGCCTGCCCTATGGTCTCTGAGTAAGGTAGACCTAGGGAGGGAGGCTGGGTCAGCCAAGAGTCTGGATCATTAGGCAAGTCTGCTGACAAAGCTGGTCTGAGGTCAAGCCAGGAGCACTCACTGGGGTCAGGATCAGTCCCAACAATAGTAACCAGGGTCAGATGCAGCCTGTTGATTGCCAAGCAAGTCCAGGTAGGTGTGAGGCCAGGCTGGGAAGGCAGAATGCAGGTAGGGTAACAAGGTCTATGGCCAGGCACAGACGTATCTGTCACACAGTTGGAGGCCAGCACTCCTACGACATAGCCCAGGGCTGAGCTGATGAAATTGGGTACCAGACCCAAGGGCAGATGGTATGGATAGAAGTCCAAGAAAGGCTGCTTAGGGCCCTTAAGCCTGTTAGTACTCCTGGGGCCACCTCTGCAGTGATATTTTGAATCAACGGAGCTACCAGGAAGGCTGCTGGAGTGTTTTGGGTTATTACAGGAGTGGCAAGCACGTTTTGTTCACCTTGAGTGTACCCACCTTGCAGCAATGGCTGTCACTTCACATCCTGCTCAGGCAGCAGCTTCACCTTATTTATGCCAATGTAAGTTAGGCTTGTTAGCTAGTGGACTTGAAAAGCTCTTGAGCCAACATGGTAAAAATCTGAAGGAGTCAACACCTTCTCTGAAACCACAACTGCCAGATGCTTGCAAACTAGCATTTGGAGATGTCCAGCTATGCCCTGGGCCAGTAGGAGGTTTCATGGTATTTGTGTCACCTTTGTTTTCCTTTGCAAATAGTCTCAGCACTGGTTTTATTGGAAAATGGTCATTTCCAAAGTGAGGCAAATTAGTTGGCTTGAAAACAAGGATATTTGAGGGTTCCTTGTCCATTGGTTGCTGTCTCCATCATTTTGCTGGTTCTATCCTGTGCTCAGCAGGAGATGCAGTTCCATACAGTACAGCTGGTCAAGACCTGGGCTTATTTCTGAGGGTGCCACTGCCTGTGTAGGCTCAGGCATGTCACTTGCTTTATATCTCTGTCTCTCTAAAGGACAATCATACAGAGTGAAACACTTGTAAAATGAATGGGCCATAGCCTTATTTTACTAATGTCTGTACTGGACTTTGAAAGAGGTCAGAAAGGTGCACTTTTTGCCATAGCTATTGCTAGTATCAAACTCTAGGCTTATCTCAAGGAATGCGTCTGAAATAATGATTTGCACTATTTTGTTTCGCTTTGCCGGATCTCAAAATGTGCTTTCTGATGCTTTCCTGCTCCTTAGAAGCTGCTACTTTATTACATCTCATGCAGTGGCAAACTAGAGATAACAAGGAATGGAGGAAACCATGGCAGGTGTGCTGGCAAATCAGTCAGTGAGCTCTTGCTGTCACATCAAACTCCTTCAGACAATTTCCCTTTAGTCTGTGTGCCTCCAAAGTAACCCTTGGACAGGTATGGAACAGGTCCTGGCTGTGTTTAATTAGTCCCATCATACCATGGCTTTTCCTTCTCTCCAAAGCCCCCAGTTTTACCTATTACTTCCTTAACCCTCTTTTCGTTAATTCAGGCTCATGCATCTGCCCTTGTCTCCGATCTCAATCTCTCTGAACTCTCCTAGGTCTTAGCACCCAGCCAATTCCTCATCACAGTTCCTCTGCGTGGCCTGACTGGGTACAGGGAATGCCAGGTACGGCACTGGCGTTATTACACCGTGAATGGAGCCAAGCTCCTCTCCTCCGTGCGGGACCCTGAGGAATTGCATCAATGGCTGGAGGTGGAGCAGTTCTCAAAAAGCCTTCAGCAGTGGCATGAAAAGGATGTGAACATCGAAGGTGATCTGGTTCCAGCCAAAGTCCTTATCGTCTTCCGGGAGCTGGTGGAGAAGTCGATTATCTCCTGTAACCTCTCCAGTGAGTTTAGTGGGGACAGGTATGAGGGAAACCATCACACACACAAAGTGTTTGTTTGGCTCGCATGATCAAAAGCTAAGAAACAGCAAACCCCCCACAAATCAGGAAGCCTTTATATAATTGCAGTGATAAAAGTAGACCTGCATTTAAGGTAGAATTAAGTAGTTCTTGGGCTCTTCATATCCCAGGATGTTACTCGTTTCTTAGGAATCTGGGTAGAGTCTCCAGCAACCTGGACCCTCACAGTTCAACCAAGAGGCAGCCCAGAGTTTAAGAGCATCACTGGGGGGGAGAAATCTTTCTCTACTGCAGCAATATATTTAGACTATCAAGGAAGATAGCATAGGAAAGTTGGACACGGGGAAGGTGCATAAGTCGGAGAATGTATCTGAAGATTCTTACAGGGCAGATAATTCTCTGGAGAAACATTAACTGCCAATAGCTTTCCAGCACAGTGTGGTGACAACTAAGTAGGAGGGCTTCTACATAAGCAAAATGTGTTGGACAAGTGCTCTTTTCCCCAGTGCCCAGTCTCCTCCAGTCCTATTCTGGAAGTAGATTCAGGAAGTTTGCTTTCGGTAGTAGTGCTGATCCCTCTGTGAGCAATCCAAAGTGCCTGTTAATTTCCTGTGGCTGTTTATATGAGAAGTGTTGTTCACTGACATAACACAATCAGTGGTGCATGCAATATGCTTTCACAGCTGCAGCATCTGTAGCAAGATGCTGCCTGAACAGTGATCCTCTTGCTTAATTCTTAGGATCCTAGAGGCATATTATAGTCTTCAGCTAATGACAATTTGGCTTGGTTCAAGCTCCATAGTCTATGTCCATCTTTTCTCATTACAATACTGTGACATGATTAAATCCAGTCTGTGGTGCCTCTTCTCATGGCATATTTCCAGGATGACTACTCATCAAAAGCCTAGTATGAGTCTTCTGTATTTCAGAGAAATAGGAGCCATTTCCACTCATCTGATTGCACTCTGTATTGTAGTCACAGGAGGAAATAGGTTAAAGTCAAACTCAACTAGATTGTGGCATTTTTTTCAGGAAATACTTGTGATCATAGAAATGGAAAGGTGGTTGGGAATGAAATTTCACCATTGAGGCTCACAGAAAAGACCAGTTGAAATGGACTTGCTCTGAGGCTTTACTTATGTGAAATTCATTGTGTTGAAGTGAAAACCTGCTGTTGTGTCTAGCCACAGTACATCAAGTTGTTGAGCCAGGAGAAGTACTTCCAAGGAACCCAGAGAGTGATGTTTGGGCTGATGATTCTCATGCCCTTTTTGTAAGGTCAGCTGGGACGAGATGAGCTAAGATGAAGTTAGGAGAAGCAATTACCATGTTCGTTTGTTTTTGCGAGCAATCAACTTCCTTAATCCCATGTTATGGCAAAAGTTACAGAAAAATATCCCTGAATTCATTGTTTCTCTGGTTTTGTAATTCTTAGAGCACCAGCAAAACCAGTTTTTGAGGTGTCTCACTTTTCATTGGTGGAAAAATAGGTATCACAAATGCAGTGCTTTTGGAAATGCCATGAACATATTTACATGCTGACACAGTGGTTGCTCTAACTCTTTTCAGCTGCTAGGGATCCCTGCTGAGAACTAGGGAGCAGTATAGTTCCTGTTTGGATGACAGGTTTGGCTCAGCAGGGAAATAACATGCAGATTTTACTGAGGATTATGAAGTTCTGATTGGGATGGACTCTACTATTTGCATGGTAATTCACCCTGTGCCTTCTGGAGGAGATGTTAAACTGTCATTGGCAGTAGACAGATACTTGCTCTGTGAGGGCAGAATAGGTTGCCATCCCAAATGTTCATCACTATCCCTTCAAGTCTGGTGTGGGCTCCTTGTGGAATTGCTCCTTAGCCCATGACAATCAAAATGAGGTGGGATAACACACTACTATTTAAACTGCTCATGTTAATTGGCTCTGTCTTTTACTTCAGTGGGTTAGAGCATGATCATGCAATTGCCTCAGATGGCAGAGCCAAAGGGATACAGTGACCCTGCCAGAGTGACTGGGAAAGCTGGGGACAGAAATTTCTTTCATGAGCACAGCTGGGACAAAAGGAATCATCTCATGAAGTCCATAGTTGCATCTTTCATAGAGAATCATAGAATCATAGAATCAACTAGGTTGGAAAAGACCTCAAAGATCATTGAGTCCAACCCCACTGTGGTTACTAGACCATGGCACTAAGTGCCACATCCAGTCTCAGCTTGAAAACCTCCAGGGATGGTGAATCCACCACCTCCCCGGGCAGCACATTCCAATGCCTGATTACTCTTTCTGTAAAAAATCTCTTCCTAATATCCAACCTAAACCTTCCCTGGCAAAGCTTGAGTCTGTGCCCTCTTGTCCTACTGCTGGTTGCCTGGGAGAAGAGACCAACCTCCCTTTGAGGGGGGTTGATCTTTTGAAAGCTCCTTTCCACATTCTTAGAGCATGCTGTTCCTGGAGATGAGCCACTCTTCTTTCCTCTAGATCACCTCGGAACTAATTCTTTTTGACACTGAGCACTCCCAGTGATCAAGCAGTTAGCCTTTTTTGGATGACTGCTCTGCACAAGAGCATTGTATTGTATTCTGTGCAAGTGCCTCTCCAGAAACAAAACTTACAGATACCCCACAACACATTCTGAATGACTGGCAAGGGTAAGTCTTTTGGTATGATCTCAGGTTCTCCAAAGGAATAAGAGCATCTTTAGATACAAAACATTCATCTGGTCCCCTCTAATCTGCAGTGATCTCCTTGTAAGATATCATTCGAAATGGTAGGTTGCACCAGTTGTCTAGTTGTATTTTTCAGAAGCTGATCCTAGGATTTAAAAGGGCTCACAAAGGAAAACAAAAGCATGGTAACTGAGTGTAAAATTGAGAACTTAGTTTTTCCTTCATCTTCTTCCTGTTCTTGTATCACAAGGTAGTTTTAGATGGTAAGTTTTTTCTTATATTCTACTTATGGTACTGAAGAGAAGTGTTAAGACAGACCAACAGAACTGCAAGCTCCTAGGCAGCCTCTTGCTTGACTTGGGGGAAAGGATAATTTCATCTGTATTATCTTATTTTGTTGTTCTTTCACAGGTAAAGTGACAGTGCTGGAGAGCTTCAGCTCAGTGGTCCGTGTGGCTGTGGAGACATCAGAATCCCAGGTTGAGGTGGAGCTGGTCCCTGCTGTAGAGATTCCAACTTGCTGGCCCGAGAAAGCACGGTGGCCTCGTTGCCTTAGGCGTTGGCCTTCTCAGGAAAAAGTGCAGTGCATCAAGGTAAACAGTGTAAAAAGCACCATTAACTCTGTGCAGGAATTTGCCTCACCGGTGTCTGACAGTGGTTTCCCAAAGGAAGAACTGCATGGTGATGGCAGGCAACAGCAGTGTTGGAAGATGTATTCTCTAGAGAAGAAACATTTCAAAATATTCTGTCAGATTTTATTTGGATTTTTTCCCCCCCTTACAGTAGTGAATTCTGTAGAAGAAAACCTGAGTTAACTGTTTATTCCATGAGTCTCTTGCACACAGCTCTGCCAATGCTGATGTGCATCATTCTTGCTGTTCTGCTCTGCCTCTTGTAAGCCTTCAGCAAATGGGCTGCTGTCTTGTAGTTTTCCCTCTGCCCTAATCCCATTTTCCCTATAACATTCATGGCTGGATTCTGGCACTCTAGCTCAGCCCCAGTTGCCATGTTCCTGCAGGTCCCATTCTGCCTTCCAGTTCTGCCCCTCTTTCATGCACGACCTGCTGCTCCATGGCAAAGTGCTGCAGAGCTGCACCTCTGCTTAGTGGCACTGCTGGTACTGTACCTGATGGCTCTAGAGCAGGATCTGCTGCAAGGAATCGATATCAGTGCACAAGGAAACAATACAAAAATTCATGTTTGTTCAACTAAGAACATGGGGGCATGCCTCATGTTTGCTGCCTCTGCTAACCCTGTTTAGAATACCCTTTGAGAGATGCCACACATCCTTTTTGTAACATCTCTCTGCATTGCTTGGAGAAGTTTGCCTCTGATCTGGTGTCACACTTCCCCTTTTGTTCACAGTCACTGGGTTTTGACCTTTTGGCCCGCTCCAATTATCACTGGCAGCTGTGCTTCTCCCGTGCTGAGCACATACTCATGGAAGGACTTGATGAAGATGGTGGTTGTCGCATGAAGTGCTTCAGGGTCATGAGGCAGATGAAGGAAGATGTCTGGTGTTCTGGAAACAAGCCTGTCATCACAGCTTATCACCTTCAGGTAGGCATCACCCACGGTGATGCCAACATACAGTCACAATATCTGTTGCAGTGTCTTCCATCTAGTAATGTCAAAATATCGTGGCATAAATTGCTGTAGCATCTGTGCAACCTCTAAGGTAACTGTCAAAACTGCAGTACCTTTTCATTGCTTTGCAGTGGCAAGAAGTTCAGTAAATATATGTTCCAAACTTCAGCAAGAAATTAAATTCTGTAGGAACATTATGATTGCAGCAACATAAATAATATCAGAGTTGAGGCCCCTGCTCTGACTTCACATAGGCATTGTACTATTGTCTGTAATTGCATATTTATCTCCTGCTTCTTGACTATCCCAGCCATCTATATCCATCTATCTGTCTGGAGGAAAATTGTGCTTTTCTCCTTTGTGGATGTGCACCAAACAAAACTGTCTTAGATGAGCATTATTAATGAATTAGGTGCAAACTACAGTTCTAGTGGTGTTTCACCTAGGATAGGAAGGGAAGAAAGAGGTAAAGAGGTGGTAGCATCCCCCCTGCACCTACTTCAGGGTTCAAGATGGATTCAAATAAGATCTGTGAAGAAGAGACAGAAGACTGGGCCCCTCAGTTCAGGAGGCATATTGAGGTGCTGGAGCAGGTCCAGAGAAGAGCAACAAGGCTGGTGAAGGGACTTGAGCACAAGTGCTATGTGGAGAGGCTGAGGGAGCTGGGGTTGTTTAGCCTGGAGAAGAGGAGGCTCAGGGGAGACCTTATCACCCTCTACAACTC